TTCAGGCAGGCAGAGTGTTGCTCTGTCCTTCACCCTTTCATCATTCTCATCACAAGGCCTTGAGGAAAGAGACAGAACAGTTAGACTGTTAGGCTCTCTCTCAGGAAAAAGTGCTTGACTACCTCTATAAATCCCTCTGACAGTAAGTACCAGAGGAACATTTCTCCCTTCAGCCAATTTTTGATGCATTTGGAACCACCTTAGTTGTAGAGCATGTCAAACTGAAACTTCCTCAGGATCAGGTGTGGACAATGAAACTTGAGCTGCTACATTCCTGGCTTGCCAGCTGCTGCTCATCACCACATCATCCACAAGTGAGTTAGCAGACACTTAGGATTTGGGATGCCAGCAAAATCAGTGCTTGCCCATCTGCCCTGGCTGAGAGGTCAGCTTTTTCAATTCAGTACCCACAGTAACTGTAAAACTCAAGCTTATCTCTCTGGTCATATCTGTTGATGAGTTTTTTCACCACATACCCTCCTTCTCAAAATTGGGTGCTAGTTTTGGTGGTGTGGCCCAATATGTTCTCACAAAAGACAGAAGGCTGGAAAGCTGCAGAAGTTTGACTATTAGTCCTATTAAAGGCTTGTTTTAGTCACTATTTATGTGAATATCTGTGTAAGTGGGACTGAAGATATTCAGTAAGATACTGAGATTCTACCAGTTATACAGCAAAAAAAACTGAGTAAAGAGATAAGCCAGGTAACAAAACAAAACCTCTGTCTTCCTTCATCAGGTGGGAAATGTTATGTGCTTAATATGATGTTTTGTTATTGCCTCTATTAGTTATTAAAAAATTTTCCTTTCTAACTAATTTTCCTTTTTCTTTCAGGGAAGAAAATAAACACTATAAATCACAAGCCATTTATGCCATTCATCCATTAACTGATTATTATAGATATGTTTTCAATGGTTTAGATCGCTTTGAACCTTTCCTATTTTACTGGTAATGAAGATATACCTGAATTAACTGCGCGTGTCACTTTGGAATTATTTACCTCTGACAATGGGGAAGAAAAAAAACACAATAATAAGGTTGGTGTGGGATTCAACTGACCAAAGATATATGAATATTATAGATAACTTGATCTAACTGGGACTTGGGTTCTCCTTTGTAATCAAGAGAAACAGGTACAGCTGATGTAGTCAATCTCTAAAATAGACATCCAAAATAAATCAGAGGAACTGTTGCCTTGAGATGCTTATTCCTCTTATTTGGCTCTAAAAGAAGTCTACATTTCCAAGCCCTTGTCTCAGCACTGCCTTGTAGACATGGGAAGACAAGTGAATTAAACCTGCTTCACTGATCTGGATATTATATTGTTAAAAAGGTGTTTCATCAATTATTTATATCTGCCTATACTTATAGGGAGTCATGAAACTTTTATCTTAACACAAATACCAGTCCTACACATGGATTAATTTGAAAAATGTGTGATCACGTGATCAGACCTCATTCAGGATAAATTTATATTTCTCCATGACACCATTACATTAAGAATAGAAGTTCATGCACACAGAACAATTATTCAGGTGGCACATTAAACATTGCTGGTCTGGAATTGTACCAATAGTTATAAAATGGATTATGGAGGGAGAGCACACTCTCTTGCAAGAAATGGAAGTTATCACAACAAACCTTCAAGTGTTTGCAATACATTTTAGATATCTAGAATCTCACAGTAGTGCTAACTGTGCCAGAAAACCTTCATGTGGATAAAGAGTCATTTTAAAGGGTTGGGTCATCTAAACCATTTCAGAGACCTACCCTGTGGAGGAGCAAGAACTCAGGTTTGGGCCTTCATTCCCATTAAGCAGCAACTGTCAGGCAGAGAAACAAGACAGAAAGCTTTGCTATTACTTTAATTAAAAAAAAAAAAAAGGAATTTTTAAGAATTTCATGAATCTCACTGTATTTTCCAAGATTTCTTATTTGGGAACTTGTGCATGTACTGATTATGTTGGCTAATCCCTTAAAGATAGCTGAAAGTATATTGTGACAGTGAATTCCACTTAGACATTAAGATGCTGGTATTAAATATTATTCCTGTCTTAACCACTATCTTAGCTATTTGCCAGGTTTTGCTTATATGAAATTATCTGCCAGGAAACAAACAGGTAAGAAAACAAAAACAAACAAACAACAACAACAAACAAAACACAAACCAAAAAAACTCACACAAAAAAAAATGGGCAATGCAGAAGAGTCCCTTTATGCAGTCATTGCTAATACTTTTGGGTGTATTTAGTTCAATCAGAAATCATCTTGTGTTACAGTCATAGGTTTAAGTTACCTTGATTAGAGGTGTGATGTATTTAAGATGAAACTGGGGAAGCTTCAGGATTGAATACTTAAGAGCTGTTAAGGGATATTCCCAATGGAATCTTTTTTTCCATGCAGTGTGCACCCTTTCTAGTGAAGAGAATGCTTTGGGTTGGTTTTTAATTTTTTGTCTCCCACTCTCAGAACAAAAAGTAGACATGTGCAAGAGCCTGCTGGTTTGAGGTGGGAAACTTTACAGAAACACTTAATGTTAAAGATCTAAATTAAATGACGCTAAGGAAAGAAATTCCACCCTGCAGAAATTTAAATCCACCCATTAGATCCTGTTAAATTACTGTACACCACTGGGAAATTGTATTGATTTCATAAATAAGAATGGAGAGGAAGGAAGAGTCCTTCACTTCTCTAAATGATAAAAGGCCTATAACAGAGATTATGGTATTTGACATTGAGAGATTAATTTCTTTCTCCAGATTCTCAAAGAATAATTTCCTTCTCCAGATTCTCTGAGTCAAATTCTATGATAAAACAGGAGCAGATGCAAGATTTTATCCTTTGACTACACTAGTAAATTACCACATTTGAAATGTCTTTTACCCGCAAACTGAAATCCTGATGTTGTAACTGCTGGTTCAATAAAAAAATGGCTTTAGCAGAATCTATAAAGGATTTGTAATTCCTATTGTGTAAATCCACCAGTTTATACACAGGTTTTTTGCTTTATATTCAGTCCTAAAGAGCTGTAAAATTTTTAATAAAAATACAATTTGCATTAAGGGGGGAAGAGGAGGATTTTTAAATCTTGACAGCTTTTTTTGTATTTTACCACAAACAAGCAGCCAAAAAACCAAACAGACCTCCACTGAATCTTTCTCCAGATATCTGAACAGGAATTAAACTGTTGGGATTTAAATTATATTCATCACAGAATAATAATATTGCTCATTATATGTAGCTTCAGGTATTCTCTGTGGGAAAGAGTTAATTGAAAGATTTCATAAGCTTTGTTAAGTATCATTATGCTAAAGAATTTTTTCTGTAATTCTGGGGTTTTTGGCCCTTTACAATTATACTCATTCAGCTTTTATCTGAACATGGAATATTCTTTCAGAATTCATTTGAAAACCAAAGGATTACATAAAAATAATTGTTCTATTTTTGCATTATAATGATTTTCATCCAAGAATCCCCTGGCAACTTAAAATATTAATTGAATAAACCTGTCTGTCACATAGGCAAAGGTTCTGTCTAATAAATGAGTAAACTGAAGTAGACGAACTGAATGGCAGAGACAGAAGGTAAGGTCCGAGCTCCAGACTGTCTTCAGTTAATGTGAGCAGCATTGAGGCTTGCTTGTAATTTTAATCACGTAATTAAATGTTATTACTGTTAATTCAGTTGCTTGCATTCTGATTACACTGGAAATTCATGTAAAAGTTACTTACCTGCTGTCCCAGTTTGAAGTAAGGGAGGTGGTAGGTAGATTGAAGGAGAACATGGTTGCTGCAGTCCAATTTATCTGGGGTCTGAATCCACCAAGACACTTCAATGTCACTGTTTCTCCAAAAGTATAGCCAGAGATGCACAAAGAAAATTACTTCAGCCTTTTGAATAAAAGGTCCAAGTTCAGGAACAAATCTCTAAGTTTTACAGAGGTCAAGGGGCCTTAGAGGTCACATAACAGGACCAATCAAATTATTAGATGAAAATAGAAAAATCATGATATGCATATAGAGCCATAGGGTAAAGATTCCAGCTCTCTCTACAGTGTGTGAAGGTTTGAAGGTTTTTAAGTACCTTCTAAACTACTGACACACTTCCAGATGCTCCTCAAATTATGCTATTTTTAAGATCCAAATGACTGTATTTAGAGTAGACTAGACTAGACTACTAGAATATTTTAGTTAGAAGGGACCTTTAATGACCATCTAAAATTACAGAAGGCTGGAAAAGACCCTTAAGATCATTGAATCCAACTATAAATCCAACACTAAGAAGTGCATTACTACACCATGTTCCTCAGTACCACATCTACATATCTTTTAAAATATGATTCCATGATTCTATGGTCTCTAGGGATGTGATCAGCCACCTCCCTGGGCAACCTCTTCCCATGCCTGATAACTCTTTCAATTTCAATCCCTCCTAACCTGGTGTTGTTTTCAGACTTACTGAGGGTGATCTCCATCCCCTTGCCCAGATCACTGATGAAGATATTGAACAGAACTGTCCACAGCACTGAACCCTGGGGAGCACCACTTGTGACTGGCCACTGCTGGATGTAACTCCATTCACCAGCACTCTCTGGGCACAGCCATCCAACTAGTTTTCTACTCAGAAAAGAGTATGCTCTAGTCCAACTGCAGCCGCATATTTAAATTAACTTATCATGGAAGAACCAGAATGATATTTGTCTCCATCATCTTTTTTGTTGTCTTTTTTTTTTTTTTCCTTCCACAAATTCTGCAACTTGGAGGCCTTGTCTTTTGTGGCAAAGTATCACTTGTACCTACGTTTTACACTATCCTGTGCCCATTTAGTTACAGAATTCCATCCCTGGCAATCAAAGATCTGAATAAATTTGCTTATCTTTGTATTGATAGAAGAGGTAAAGGAAGAAAGGGAGAGGTTGTGGCATGTGATAATTAATCAAAATGTCATCTTCCCAGTCACCCCACATCACCCTATTTATGGTTATCTTCAAAGGTCCCTAAAACTTGCTACTTTTTACATCTCTGATAGCAAATAAAAGCAGCCTTTGTCACAGAGGTCAGGTGGTGTGGCATAGATTTACTCCAAGAGGGAAACTAGTTCTGCCTAAAGCACACAGTCTTGTCCCTGCATCTTGGTAGCAGACATGAAGTTCATGTAATTTTGTGTTGTGTTGGCTTGTGTTGCCCTGGGAAGCAGGTCAGGGCATGGGGAGGGCAGGCTCATTGTCCCATGCCAGGGGACACGGTGGATGATCATGTATGTAACATATTTACATCAGATTCTCTTTTAGGCACACACCTTTTCCTTTCTGCATTCCTGCACCTGAACACTGTACTGCAAGGGGGGCAAAAATCAATTAAAGCACAGGTAAAAGACAATAAATTAACACTTACATATCAAGTTGTGCTTTGAAGAGAGGAAGAAAGAGAAAGAGAGAAGCTACGTCACTAGCTGGCTAGTGTGTTTTGCATATAAAATATCTGCATCAGGGAAATCAAGAAGAGGAAAACAGAGTGGGTGTCCACTTAATGGAGCCTGGGGATATTCCAGATTCAGTAAATTGAGTGATTGCATTTAAAACTACAGAGGTTCAAAGCAATGAGACGAATAACAGGAACTGATAGAAGAGCTTAAGCAGCTTGTACGTCTTTATCAGAAAACCTCAGATTTAAGGTGGTTTTTGAGAAGTTATGCAGGATATGTTTTCCTGACTGCATTAAAGATGAAGAGATGCCTTTAAGTTAGATTTCTGAATGTAATTAGATTTATTGCTTTGCCAATTAGGTCATCTAGAAGCCTATGACAAGTTAAGTTTCCTGTGATTTTCTTACAAAATCTTCTTTTAAACATATGACTCGCTGGACAAATTAAATGCCTTTTCCTGTAACAATAGCCATAATCTAAATTCTTTGTCTGGAATCCCATCAATACTGTACATTTGGCCAGCAAATGATTCATGTTGCATTAAATTACATTTCTGTTTTCCTGGGCTGCCTCTTCAAATTTTCTTGACACTTCAATTCATTAAGCAGACGGAGATGGAACTTGTGACTGAAATGTTTTGTTCAATAATACTTAAACTCATTCCCTGCAAACCAGTGTTATCCACCGCTCCTAGAGAAGGGTGGTTTCACTTCAGCACCTTTCCTAATAACTGGCTGAATGCTTCCTAACAGAAATCCATTTCTGGCAATTCATGCACAGTTGATTAAATACCTTTATTTAACCCCGCCTTTCCCTTGGTAGATGCAAAGAAGCTGAAACTGGAAAGTTGTTGATTATGATGATATTGGACAATTAATTATACATTGTAATAACCTCTGACCCAAGCAAACATTTCCTTTTTCATTTAATCAGATGAAATGAAAAGTGATCAAATAATTACCTGTTTTTGCCTTCCAATCAAGCTCTAGGTAGAGAAGAGATGTTGAGAGAAAATCAAGCAGAACCTTAAAAAAGTAACAATAATAATCAAGCAAATGAAGAATAAGAAATAAATCTATTGAAATTAATAATTAGAATATTTTTTCACTTACTTCATCATCATCTAAACAAATTAAAGCCCTCCTGAGATGGCTTCTCTACTCAGTTTCATGTCCGTGACACTAGGACATGAGAAGTTTTTCCTGACCTCTGTGTTCACACCTGGGTCAGTGGGCCCCATCACTTATGAATGATTCTGTATCTGATTCTTCTGAAGCTGTTTCTTTTGTGTCCTTATTTTACACAGAGGGAGGGAAGTATTTCATGAAACCATCTCTGAACAGGTGGAAAAAAGGTATAAAAATGAGGGGGGTGGGGGGAGAGGGGGGAAGCAAACATGCAGTGTGTTACATTAAACACACAGAAGAATGTTTCTATCTTCTCAGATCCCTCAGTCTTTGGAAAGTCGTTATCTTTTCAGAAATAACAGTATCAGCTCCAGACTTCTTTAGTCATTTTGGATCCTGTAAAGTGCTTTTAATCTTACTCTTCGCAGAGTAAAACTGTCCTGAATTTAACCAAACGCCAAAAGTAAGGTGAGAATTCTGTACGGTCTGGGGGAGTTTTTGTTGGATCTTTTTGTGTGTAGTCCATAAAAATGAGTTAGTCCTTCACTGGGTAAACCCACATTTCTCCAGCTAAGTATCTTGATCCGTAGGAGCACGTGTTTTTAGCAGTGTGGTGTGTGCAACACAGGTTGGCAGTCTGGGGTCACCAGTGAGGGTGCCTCTCCTCTTGCAGCTCTCAAATTTGCTCTTCAGCTGCCTGGGAGTCGAGAACTGAACTCCTCACCCACTCAGTGCTCTGCAAAGTGTCATCTGAGGTGCTACTAGAGGTGTCCATCTTTCAGCTACCAGAGTGATGTAGGTACCTTAACTAGTGATGCTGAAATTAAATACTTAATGTTAGGAAGTTATACGCCTTCTTTGCCTTTGAAAAGTTGCACCTCTGTGTTCTGATTCAACTTTCTACGGCTACAAAGTGAAAAAGTTCAGAGCAGAGAATAATAAACATAAATCAGCCTATTTGTTTAATAGGTCATTAAACCAGAAATGGCTATTATTTAAAATTATTAAATCAGTATAGGAAGAACTCCTACATTTTTACTTTTAAGTTTATTAAAATTTGCTAAACTAGTGCTCTTTTGTAATTAGGTGAATGAACTTGGCTTTCTGCAGTTCTGAGCACTTCAAGTGTGAGGCTTTATTGTACTCAGTACATATCTTTTTTTATATAATAATAAAATGTTATTGAAATGCCTTTTCAGATCATCAGCATTCTTAGTGTTAAAATTCCTTTATTGCTAGAAGTTTTCTTTGATGTTAACAAAGTTTCAGAAAGGTCCTTAAGTGTGCTTTGCTTTATTTTGAACATTAAAATAATAATAGCTGCATTTTGTTCAGTGTGTAACTAACTACTTATTTGACTTTGTATAAATGCATTTCTTCCTTTTATAAAATACTCCTGCAGATATGAAAATTTCTGTATTCTTTTTAGGAGTACTGTCAGGATATGCAATATATAGTGCTGAGGTGGGACAGAGTGCATTGTTCTCTCCTCAATATCACTTTTGATCACATCATTAAGTACACAGTCCTGCCATACAGATGAGCAAGGTGTTTGTCACCAAGTGAGGTGGGTATTAATGAGCATCTTTTCTTGCATCTGACTTTGATTGAACTTTTCATCACCCTTCCTGTTTGGAGAGCTTTGCATCAATTCCAGTTAAATCCTTGCAGAACTCGTTTAATTTCTTTTACATGACTGACCTTTCTCACACATGACTGGCTGTCACAAGCTGACTGGTAGGTCTGGGTTTCTGAATCTTGAGTCTTTTAATTGCATTGAGAGGCATTTTGCTGTAGAGTAGGAAAGAATACTCAATTGCTTAACTTATTACATGCTTTAAAAATGATCCTGAGAGGTCAGACACAGACTTTCTGAAGATCTTTGGATTTTCTGTTTGTGGTTTGAATTGGGTAATTTCTTTTTTGTTGGGGAATAAGTGTTTACATTTTCCCTCCCCTACCCACAACTTAATAATAAAAATATCAATAAATAATTACTAATTGAATTAATATTCAGCTTAAATGCCCTTTTTATCTTTAGGAGGTACACAGGAATACACCTTCATCAGCAGTTAATAATCCTTACCTACAGTACCTGGTCTTATATTCACTGGCTTTTCTAAATCGGCATGCACCATTCCCCTTTAAAATCAGACATCTAGTCTAAGCTAGTCTTTACTCTCCCTCTAATGCTTGTGCAGAGAAATAGACCCCTCCAGAGGGTAATTTGTCCTAATTGTCTTGGATATCATAGTTTTTGATTAGTAACTCCTGGTAGTAACTGCTACTCACCAAAGGAACCTGGATGAGTGTCTTAAGCTAGATGTCTCACATTTATGTGATTAAGGCTGGGCCATACAGATTCTATCCCAGGGGTTGTGAGTTGCAGGTTCCCTTTCTGTCCAATACTGTACCAGGTTTCCCAATATCTGAGGCACATAAACCATATAAAGCTTCTCCAGAGTCTTCTCCCCAGTGTCCTTCATGCTGTTGACTTCAATCTGGTGACTTTGTAAACTTCAAAGGATATCACCACACTGTAAATAAGTCAGGCTCTACACTATTTGCCTGAGTTATTATAGAAATCTAAAGAGTTTGTAGTTGGTGTCAAAGAAAATTTTGCCACAATACCTGCTTAAGCACATCTTACTATCAGGTATGGGTTTTTTTGTTTTGTTATGTTTGCATTAGTATAAACGGAAGAAAAATTCGAGGATCCTTGGAATTATATTTATGTGCAGCCTCAGAGTGATATTAGAGATAATAATTATTTTTTTCTCACAGCTTCTAGGCAACAGGAATTGAAAACAGTCACATTCAGTTGGATAACTTTAGTCAACTAATCATCAAACTATTTCAACTGGAGAGCAGTTCTTGGACAACAGCCAGGTAAGTAAATTCCCCATCTATGCCTTAATTTTTTACCATAAATCTATGGGGACACATGGAGAACATTAAAAGGACCAAACACGGTCAAACATTGGTTCAGTTCCTCTCTTCAGCTAATGGATGTTTTTTCATTTTCCATGTCAGAGGAAAAATTAAAACCCTCTTCCTCCATGAAGCCATCACTGAATAAAAAACTGTAGGGTATATTATAGGTTTTGAGAAAATAATAAACAGTCCCATGTGGCCTGAATAAGGCACTAAAGTTTACACATTTTATCTGTCAGATGACTTGATATTTTATTGAACCTATTCAATCAATGTTAAAAAGAAGAGACAAGCAGTATTTTCTCAAAATAAATCATGAAATCACAATGTATTTGTATTAGATTTTCTTTATTTTTACAGTCAGGGGTTAAGCTGTTTCCAAACTGGCCTGTTAAAAATGAACATCAATTTAATTATTACAAAGAGGAGCAGAAAATTATTGGTTCACAAATTATTCCAAATCTTTCTGCAGTCTTAATATGGAGCTGCTGAATTTCTTTTAGTATTCGATATAAGGCAGGTTCACCCAGAGCAGGTTGCACAGAATCACGTCCAGGTGGGTTTTGAATAGCCCCAGAAAAACTCCACAGTCTCTCTGGTCAGCCTGTTCCAGTGCTCTGTCTGCCTCACAGTAAAGAAGGTTTCCCCCATATTCAGATGGACCTTCCTGTGTTTCAGTTTGTGCCCATTGCCCTTTTCCCTGTCACTGGGCACCACAGAGAAGAGTCTGACCCATGGAAAAGTTCAGTTTGCACGTGACAGTTCACAGCTATCTTTAATGTCACAGCTGGCACCAAGGAGCTCTTGGGGAGCACATTATTTTGTTCATGAGGGTCTTACTTTGAAAGTCACAAAGTTCTGTTCTGTTACACCCAACTCCTGTTTCCAGCACTGAAGTTATTTTCCTTCAGGTACTGATGTGTGGCACTGTGATTTCCTTGACATGGAAAACTTCCCATGTGAACCACAAACAAGGCAAATGTTTGAAGAAGTGTCAGTGTGCAGGGACAAAGCTGAGGTCAGATGTTTCCCTGTCACTGATGCACCATGACTTTGAACCCCCAGTTGTTTACCTACCTGCAAGAGGTTTGGCATTTCTTTTTCTGTCATAGTAACCTTACAAGTAAATGCAACAGGAAAAACTACCTTGAAGCTGAGGTTTTACAAAAGTCTGATATATTTCAAACAGTTAATACTGTCTGGAAAGAACTCTCTGCCTTTCCTGGGACAGAAAGTGAAAGGAGAGACCTGGCCAGCCACTGGAAAAATTACTGCAAAATGGCCAGCATGAAAAATCCCCTATAAAGTCACCCACTGGTGGTTTTGTGGGCTGCTGTTTTTTGTTGGTTGGTTGTGTTTTGTATGTTTGCTTGTTTGTTGTTTTTGGCTTTTTTTCCTAAAATCTCTCTAGTTTTATTGTCTCTAGGTATGACTTTTTAATTTTGAAAAGTATTGTGATCATGACCATTTTGAAATGTCACCCTCCCATAGAAAATCCCTGGGAGACTTGGTAGCATGATTGGTCCATGAACCACATCAGTCTATATGATTGCTGCCACAGGGCGAACATGGGAACAGGTTTCCCAGAGGTGCTTTAGAATATCCATCACTGGAGATGTTTCAAACACTACTGGACAGGACCTGGGCAGCAAACTCTACCCTAGAATTTATCTTTTCTGAGTGGAGAGTCAAACCAGATCACATCCTGAAGGACCCTTCCAACCTTAATTATCCCGTGATTGTATTTTATTCCTGGGACCCACAGAAGTAAAGATGAAACTAGGAATATTCAAGTCATCAGGACCAATCTCCAAGGAAGATGATGGGATGAAACCGTTTCAAACCTGTGGTTCTAGGTTCTAAATTGGTACTCGTTTAACATCAACAATAATAACAGAAAATGCTCTCCCTTTCCCACCTTCTCCAGTTTTAAACTATAGTATGGCCAGGAGTCTTTATAACAATTTAAAAGAGCTTTACATTCAAATCTCCTGATGTTCAGGAGTGCTAAATTTTTCAGGAATTGCTAATATTCAGGATTTTCTTCTCTTTTCCTGAGCCACTGATTTACTACTCTAGTGTAAAAGAATATTTACCTCTGTTGAAAAGTACCACCAGTCAAAGGAAGACAATGGAGCTCTCAATTCCCAGTGAACAGACCTGTGGCTCTCCTGAATTAATTGTTTGGTGACATGCTTTCCTGTCTGCAAAATAATTCCTGTTCCTTAACACAAAATAAAACCTTCAATGATATGAAATTTTTCACTTCCTTAGATTCAGTATTAAGAATTATTTATCATAGTTTGCAGTGATAAATGAGCATTTGGCATTATTGAGTGTGTAGTTCTTTGCTGTATATGCCTAATTTAGGTGGTCTGTATTATATTCCTGAGGCCAAGAAATTAGTTTTGTTGGGTTTTATTTGGTTTTTTTTCGTTTTGCTCTTTAAGAATAGCAATGCGAAAAACAAGGCAGATCAAGGAATTTGGCTGTAGCTCACTACTAAGGTGAGTTATTAGCAGAGACAGCAGGGGGTAAATATTTAGACTCTTAGACCATTTTTCTAGCCAAAAATCCTCTTAGCAAAGAATAGGTTAGTTTTAGAAATTCCTTTCCATTGTAGCAAACTGAACTCTGGAAGCTGGAAATGCCAAAATGAGAAAGTTCGTCTGCCGTCTTTTATGATAACACAGGGTTATGTGGGTTGGTATTATCAAATGCCGACAAACAAACCTCAAGATTTTATTCCTTACCTGGGTATGTGGGCTTTATAAATACAGGGAAACAAAGATACACATTCTTCTACCAATGCTCTGTGACTGTTTTGCTTCCCAGTATAGAAGTAGCTCCAAGAACAAGGTACACTGTGACTTTCCTTTCCAAGGTCTTTCCTTTAGTTAATTCCTACTGACACCACTCAGTGTTGTAGGGGCAGTGCAGATGGAAAATTCACACCTGTCCCGTATTTTGCACCTTGTCAGAACCTGCCATGGCATGGATTCTCTGGGAGTGACAGTATTATTAAACATCTTCTGGCAGTAGCTTCAGAAGTCAACACTCAGCTCAGATGTGCCATGAAGAGTTGTAATATATTTTTGAGAACAGGAAAAAAAAGTAACAGTTCTCTGCTGTGATACAGAACTAGAGAAGGACAAAGATGCCCAAGAGAAATCCTTTATTTTTGGAAATACTGTCTAGTAAGATAGCCTTTCAGGGAAAAAAAAAGAACAAACCAGAACAAAACAACCCACTCTTTTTGAAAGAATGAGTAAAAAAACCTCCCAGATCAAGATTTTTAAGATAATGTAAGCCTTGAAATTTGTTAACTTTGATTAAGCCTCAACAGATTGAAAGCTCAGCTAATTTTTTTCAAGAGAATTGTCCCTGTGCCTTCAATATAACAAACACACAGTCTTAATTTAATTAGTTGGGATTCTGGAATCACTATGTTGACATCACAAGGATTATTTTAGCTTTATAAGATTATCCAGAAAATCAGAATCAGATTAAGTATGCCATCAAGACACACAATCAGTGCTGCATTGATTATGAAGGTAGCAAACACCTTTCCTGCCCAACAGGTGAACTCACCAAATAAAGAGCC